ACATTCATATTGGTCCATGTGGACAAAAGTATGATACCTTATGGGTACCATAGAATCTACCTTACCGAAAAAGAAAAGTGTGAAGTTGTTTTGGGACGGAACGGAATATACTAAGATACCTGGTTTTTGAATTCTATTGATGCCTTTCGTTATTCTCAAATCAAAATGATCACAAGTGGGGCATCTTACCGCCCTATCTGTAGACCGAAAATCCTGAAACCAATTGGCCTTCGGTAATGGCGGCGGCCGGCAAACTGTGACGGATTCCATGGTTAAACATTTGTTTCCTTACTTTAATTTAGCCTATTTGGATTTCATTTGATTTGGAGAATTGATTCTCTTCTACAAATTCTCAAACTCCTGAATTTGTCACATTAGCTATTGTCATACGTAATAATCACTATCAATATCAATTATATACAATTCAAATTTCGCTAATACATGGTTTTTGTAAATAAAAAAATACGAATATAATGTACACTTTTCACTGTATAGAAATTCTGATATTTCCAAGAGCAATTAGGGACAAATTCATGCGATAAGAAGTAATACGCTGGAGTTTACCGTAGAAATTTTATCAATACGTGACCTGAAAGAGAGATGAACTACTAATCGAGGATGTGAAAAGTAAAATGCGTTGATATAGAACTCTAATGATTAAAAACTATGTAGTATTAATAAAAAACCTAAATTAATATAAATTTTGATTTATTTAATTTTTATTAATTCCATTGCTAATTTTTCTTCAAAAAGATTATTTGAAGAAAGTTGTGCACAAATCTATGAATAAGGAGTTACAGAGTATAACTTATACTCCGTATTATAAAAATCACTATATAGAATTATAGTAGTACTAATATATATATATATATATATATATATATATATATATATATATATATATATATATATATATATATATCGTGTAACTCTTTTTAAATTACATAAAAAGTACTTATGACTAAAATGAAGACTATTTACAACAATGTGACTTGTGACTAGAGTGATAATGAAATAATAGTATCTTATGTTTAAGTTTTAACCATAACACTGCATTGTAGTAACTATTAGTCATATTTATGTAAATAAATTTTATTTTAGTAACATTTTTGGAAGAAAACCTTGAAACTTTGATTTTTGCTTATAAATCCAAAAAGGAGTATAAGATTTGTAAGAATGTCCTATATATTAGAAAATGTTTCTAATGCTGCATAGGTAATACTTAGTAGGTCATAGTAGTAATACACTAATACTAATGTAATATGATGTCTCAAATTTAAATAGAATAATTATGAAAAAATGACATGTATATTAGTGGTGAAGTTTTTCAAGACAAAAATATGATTAGTAATGTTTTTAGACAAAAAATATGACTAATCACTATGTACAAGTCACTATGAATTGATCATTATAGTGTATTTTAGAATGACAAATCAATGTAGATGATGAGTCACTATAAACTAATTACTAAATATGTCACTTATTAAGAAAATTTTAAAATAAGTCATTTTTTGTCTTTTGAATTTAATTTAGTAATATTTATGGGAAAAGTTGTCTTATAGATTTATACTAATGTTTACTTCATTTTATTTTTATATTCAGGACTACACGTAGCTATATTACTTGGTAGTGCAATTATTGTAATGTCGGTTTTACAATGCAACGTTTATTATATATTGTCCCATACAAAAGTCTTGATGCTCGTGCACACGTGACATAATAGAAATAGACACATATGTCAATTAATGAATTTTCTCCCACTTTTCTTGTAATGATTTTGGGGATCTTCAACCTTCTTTCTTGAAAGTTGACAAGAGACATCTAACACCTTCTAGGAATGAGTCATCCAACATTAAGGTACTTCCACATCCCTTCATGGATGTTGCTCGGATATAGCTAGGAACCTCCCTAACAATGGGAATGGAAACTTGGATGTAATTTCCTCATGTCTCCTATATACATCTATAAATAGGGAGTCCGATTTTGTGAGGGTAAACATCACTGTCCCCCTTCAATGTATGCCATTTGGTATTACACTTCTTTTTTTCCCTTAAATTTATTATAACTTATGTTTTTAATAGGGTGGGAGGGTGATGTTCACTCTCCTTTGAGGGGTGAACAAAAGTGTTCCCATAAATATGGAATTCCATTGTTGTTCATTAGTATCAGTTTCTAATGTGAGAAAAGTGTGAAAAGAGTGAAATACACTTAGAGTGAGAGTGTATTAGTGAAGATTGATTTTTTGCAATAGTTGAGTGTGAGAGTTTGCTCCTCCTATTATAATTCTGTTTTGATATTGAATAGAAGAATTTTTCAATTGCAACAATGGTGTTCATGGAGTATATTCCCGTATACCCCAGGGGTATCATAATCGCCGGTATAAAGCATCACGGACCCATTCCGGAGTGCACGAAAAGACTAAGTCCGAAGCTATACCGACCCCGACCCCGACCAGCCAGGGTCGGAAACAAGCGCCAGTCAACAGAACAAGCTAAGGACCGAGAAGTTGCCCGACCCCAACCTCAACCACCGAGGTCGGGAAAATACCAAGCTCAGGAATCGATCAGACTCGACCAGTTATGAGCCCGACCTCGAGACGCCCGGGTTCGGCACTAAGTCTGATCCCGGGAGTCAAATGCATGGTCAGCATGCACCAGGCAAACGACTACCTCAAAGGCGGGAACAAAGGACAAAGGGGTGAGTCCTCTCATCACGAGCCCGAGCTCCCAGATATCGACCTCAGTAATCTCCAAGGTCTGAATAAAGCGTCGTGGACTTGGACAAAATCCGCAAGGACTTGCCTCACAAGGAGGTGTCGCCACGTCACCATCAACACCAGGGAACATTCCTAGTTACCCACACGTAGCCACACGGGATCTCTGGCAGCAATCCTGTTAGAAGCAATCCCCAATCAGCCAGCTATTGAAGATTCTCTCTCCAATCAGCTTTACGCGGTTGCTCCCCATCGAATTAGGCTGTTAGTTTGTTAGAATAGCTTTACATGTGTCCCTCTCCTATTAGTCTAACATCTTTTTGCTTGGGCACCAAGTATTGCCTTTTATCTCCTAGTATAAATATCACCTTCCAACTTGTGGATAGGGATGCTTGCTTAATGCTTAACGCTTAATCTATCGCACTCTTATTACTCATATACTGCTATCCTGCCGGATCAAGTACTTGCTTTTTCCGATCAGTTCACTCTCCTCTTTACTCTCATTTCAGTTGGATTCCGGCCACCCCTGATCAGATAATCCATCAGGTGTGTTGATTTTTAGTTAGTACATTTTATTTACGCTGTCATATACTACACATAACATTTATATCTAAACGTTGGTTGAATGCACCAAACTCTATCATGATATAGAAATTCAGTGATTTAAAAAAATCGGCAAACCCCCATCTCTTATAATTATTAATGTGCATAACCCATTTAATGAATAAATTTTGTTGGGATATTGGGCCACAGACCCGATACCCGGATCCAAGACCCAAGACATTCAGTCCATTAAACGGGCCCATCATCCAGAAGATGAACCAGCTCCTGGGAGACCAATTAACATATTTGGGCCAGATCATTAATGGGCCAGATCAATGATGACTCCAGATCAGATGTACCGAACGGTGATCAGACTAATCGACGAACTTGGGCCAGACCAATGATGATTCCAGCAGGATTCACTGCCCGTTCGGGCAGCGAATAGCCAACAAGTGGCAAGGGGCATTTATTGCTAAAGTATGACGGCAGCTAGTGGGAGCATGGGTTCCAAGTGGCTAGATAAAGCAACCAATCAACATGAAGTACCCCATACCCCCCATTAGTATAAATAGAAGGATTAGTTTCATTGTAAAGGGTTAGCATTTTGAGACTCAAGCCTAGAATAACATTATCTCTCTGATTTCTTGTATTAGTTACTATTCCGACATACCGTTCGGGTAGTTTACAGTGTAATAGTCAAATTACTTAATACAAGTGGGCTTTGAGTGTTCGTTGATATCATCTTTTATTTTTCTTTTATACACTGGATTATCGTCCCATTTCCTGATATATCCAAAGTTTGTGTTGGGCTTTCGGATCTACAGGATTAAACTTCAACAAATTTAATAATGTGAAAATCACATATCTTAATATTATTATTGAATATGCAATTAAGTTTGTCAAAATCCAAACATTATACAAAAATGCTAATAATTTTTCTTTATTTGACAATTGAATTTGTTCATAGTAGAGATTTTTCGGATGAGTAATTATAACACATGAGAGTTTGAAACATATTTTAAATCACATGAGAGTATTGAATTTCTATATGAGAGGGGGTTTGATGCATTAGACTCATCTAAACATTGTGTTTGACATTATAAGGTAAGTAATTAAAAATTACCGCACCAAGGAAAAAGAGAGATAAATTAATTAATTATTCTCGGAAATCTAGATTACGAATTAACAATTGTTTAACAACAAAAAAAACTTGTAGAAATTGCCCTAAATAGGAGCAAAAATGTTCTGAAATTCCAAAATAGGAGTATCATGTTTTTTATTCCTTGAATAGGAGTAATCTGCCAAGTTTGGAAAAAATTGTTATGTTTAATAGCCTAGTAATGCCAAACTTTGCAGAAATTTACTCCTATTTAGGGAATAAAAACATGATACTCCTATTTTGGAATTTCAAAATTGGGTTATAAGTATTTTTAACAGTTCATTACATCAAAACATAGTTTTTGGAAAGAATAGTACTACTCAATCTTAGATTCTCACAAACATGAAGGATTTGGTTAACACGGTTATCTTTTTAGTACAAGATTTGAATTCTCAATCTCTAAAGACATGGTGATATCTCTAGATTAAAGTTTAATTGTTATTAAAACCTCATTATGACTTGTGATGAAAAATTAAAGATTCCATTAGTGTACACACATCTCAACATTCCATTAAACTAACAATTATTACAGCTATTAGCAGGTTATGCATCTCTATAAATAGCTCTTTACTCCATCATTTCTTCTCACCACACCTTCTTTTGCCATCCTATTCTTACTCTCATCCTTACTTTTTAAACTCTCAGTTAATTAAGCACTTCAAATGGCTGCCAGTGCTCAGGTATGTATACATTGTTTAAATTTAAATCTCTATTGATCTAAATTAGCTGCTCAAATGGATCCTTAGCTCTACTAGTTTAAGCCACAATAAAAGTATTTTGTTTATTTTATTGCAACATATATGATGATTTGAGCGGTTTTATTCTCTTTTTTGTGCATTAAATTACATTGATATCAATGATCTATGCACTTAACAACAACAAAAATAGTAAAGAAATTTACAATAACAATCCCAACTCATTAACCGATTCATAAAACTGAAACGTGAGCTAATGTATTTTTGTTATAGAAATTGCCCTAAATAGGAGTAAAAACTGTTTGAAATTCCAAAATAGGAATATCATGTTTTTTATTCCCTGAATAGTAATAAATTTCTACCAAATTTGGCATTACTAGGCTTTTAAACATGACATTTTTTCCCAAACTTAGCAGATTACTCCTATTCAAGGAATAAAAAACATGATACTCCTATTTTGGAATTTCAAAAACGTTTTTAGTTGTATTTAGGGAATTCTCTCTTTTTGTTACGCTAGGTTTTTTTACATGTTCAAAGAAACGAAATATATAAACGTAGGGAAAGGGGGCAAATAAGCCTTCGAACTAACCGAAAAAGTGCAAATCACCCCTTTTATAGAAGTCTCTGTCCGGCCGTCGCCATTTGGGGCGGTTATCGGTGGAATTTTTGGATGAATTTTTTTGAGCATCTTCTTCATTTAGTCTAGTTTACTCATACCAAATTTCAGATAAAAATGCAATCGGAAAGGCAGTCAAATAAATGCTTGAAGATTACTGTGCGGTTAAATAGCGCAGTATATTTCAGAAAATCATTTGACTGTCTTTTTGGTTGAATTTTTAGCTGAAATTTGGTATGGGTAAACTAGACTTAATAAAAAAGATGCTAAAAAAATCATCAAAAAATTCCACCGGGAACCTCCCCAAATGGCGACGTCTGGACAGAGCCTCCTATAAAAGGGGTGATTTGCACTTTTTCGGTTAATTCGAGGGCTTATTTGCACCTTTTCCCTATAAACGTATTGTATATTAATTAGCAACATCATTAGTAGTTTGTTTATCCTAAATTTATTTTAACTACAAATACAATTTAATATCAAATGTGTTTTGTAAGTTTTTTACAATGTGTGAATAATGCTCATCAAGTACAATCATATTGCATATGCTTTAAAAAATAGACATTTAAAGATCATTTGTCAAAAACACCAATAGTTGTAAATCAGGAAGAATTTGTTATGGAAAAAATATCTTAGTGATAATTTCAAAACATCATAAACATTTGAGAAGTTTGGAGATAACTTCATAAACACATGGTACCAGAAATGAAGAAATATTCATACACTTTGGTATCCAAATTAGTATTACAATTAAATACATGTACCTAAACTTAAATTACACATAACCATGCATACTTATTTCAGAAAAAAAAATCTTATACATAATATGTATAGATATATAGTCTAGCCCATTTTATATGTTCTAGTACTTATCCATGTGATTAATCTAACTCTCTTATCCATTTCTAGTCATATTCAGACTTTTTTTTAATTAAAATAGATATCTTAAAAGATTGAATGTGGACTTCAACAATACCTTGTTTGAGGAGTTATACATAATTAAAATCAATCCCAATTTTTATCAGTTTCATGGAATGAATCAACATAACAAAAAAAACACTTTAGGTGCGACTTTTGTTATAAGTTTCTTCATTGTTAGTGATTATTTTGATAAATGTGCAATCCTATGAATTAATCTAATGTCAACTTGTCTTTTGCTTTAAATAATAAACACATTATGAACTGTTTGAGGGAAAAAATTTAATGTGATATTAATTGTTGAAAACTATATCAGCTTTTTGGTGAAAATGGTTGAAAAAAACATGTTATTGATCTCTATGTATATAAAATATAAATTTGCAGGTTGAATCAGTTCCCACAATAGGAACAGAGAATGTTCCAGTGGATGTTGAGGTGAACACAACCAGTGAGGCACCAAGGGAAGATGTGGCCCCACTTATTGAATTAGAAATTCCCCGAGATGATCAAGAGGCTGCAGATAGCAAAGAAGTGGTGGATTCTGAAGCTGAAGAAACAGAATCAGCTGATACTGATGAAGCTAACTCAGAAGAAAGGGTTGCCGAGGAAGAAGAAAGTCCAACTGATGAGACGGTGGTGGAAGAGGAAACCGTGGTGGCTCCGACTGCTACTGCTTAGGTTGTGGTGGCCGGAATCTGTTGGCACAGAAGTTGCAGGCTAAAGGGTATTTAGACTCAAAGATTTGGATAGTAGATTTCTACTACTAATACTGTTATAGCTATTATTGTTACTACTATTATTATTATTAATGAATGTGTGTGTATTTGTAATGTGTTTTCTAATATAGACTATTACCATGAAATGCAATTATAAATGCAAATCATATGTAAATGTATACGTGACTTTAATTTTTTTAGCACTGCAACATAAATAAAAGTAAAAAGTTACATCGCCTTTAGTTATTAACTGTAAAGCTATTACTATTAGGCTATCAGCAATTCCACAATCATAATGTTTTTCTAGTAACCGCACACAAGAAAAAGCAATTTGCAACAACTTATTCCAAATGTTCTAAAACTTTATTTCATAAATCATTGTTCCAAAAGGTGCCCACCCAAGCGCCCCCACACCCGACCTGGTGAAGAAGTAAGTCACGGTGACTTAGTCAGCCTAATGGTGATAGATCTTGTACCCGTGCGGCCGTGCGCACCAATGGTTTAGCCCAGCACGCAGTAGCTGTAACTTCCACAAGGCCGCTACGGGTTTCGAATCTTAATCATTGTTCCAAATTTTCCACAACTCAACCAACTGAGCTACCCGCACGAGTTTTATTTCATAAATCAAAATGAACATAAAAAAACTCTAACAAAAAACACTCCACCTATAATGATTGAAATGCAAAAACCGGAACCGATGTCTCTTTCTCTCCAGAGTTATGCTAGGTGTACACATTTTTGTGTGCACTTTTTGTACATTCGTTTGTCTCACACAGACAATGTTGTCTATCCACAGACAACAATGTAGAGTTGTCTGTGGACAGACAATTATGTGTGCGTGAGACAGACGAATGCAAAAAAGTGTGTACATTTTTCTTCTCTCCAACCTAGTCTCAATCCCAACCCCAAACCTTATTTTACAATCCCACTCTCAGGACTGGGTCCACTACCTTGCTTCAAAAAGTCAAAACCTCTAATCCATCGAGGAATGTCTTATGTAGTAGAGTAGAAAAGATTAAAAATTCATAAATAGCACCATCATATTTTTATTCTTGAAATAAGAGTAAGTACCGTTAAGTTTAAAAAATATTGTCATTATAAAGTCTCATACTGTCAAAACATGACACTAATTAGTCCTATTTTGGTAATAAAAACATGACACTAATTAGTCCTATTTTGGTAATAAAACCTAATTAGTCCTATTTTGGAATATACAAACATTTTTTGTTTTATTTAGAGTAATTTCTCTAACTTCCAGCACTTTAGCACCGTGTTTTTTTAAAGCAAGAAGACACAACAAACAATTTGTCCCGCTAAAAACGAGGCAAAAAACATGCAGCCAAATGTATAAAAAGATACTCCGTACTATTCCTTTTTGCTCGTAAAAAGAATGTCACTTCTAAAGTTTGTTTTTTTTCTCTTAAAAGTGTCTTCAATGATAAATAAAGATAATCAGAACTTTGCTAAAATAGAGTACCAAACAGATTTTATATCACAAGTTGAGGTAAATCATCAAAGCAAAAATCTGAATAAAGTATCCTTTATAACTCAAAGGTTACTATAGACGGGGCAGATCTCAGGGGACCTAAGCAATGTATCACCTCAAATTTAAAAAATGTCTAAATTTTAAAGGTAGAAAATTTCGTGTAAATTTTTTTCTAAAAAAAATCTTTGTACATGTCAGTGCCCTAGCTCTGCCCCTGACTATAGAAATAAAAAGTTAACCTTCATTAATCATGACTGAATTTATTTGATTACTCGGTGATTAAAAGTTAACCTTCACTTCTGATTATCTTTATTTAGCATTGAAGATTTTTTTTTTGAATCATGACATGATTCGAAATATGAATATCGCTACAGCTAGGTCGTCGCCCGTAAGCGACGCGTCATCCCTCCGCATGGGGGTGGGGTCAAATGAGCAAGGGCGCGCTACACTTCATAGGCCTGGATGTGGTGATAAGAATGTTAAGGCTGCTAGGTCGTCGCCCAGAAGCGACGCGCCACTCCAATGCCCGGGGATGGTGTCAAATATGCAAGGGCATGGTGGGGGTCGTTATGGGGTGAAGAAGAGAAGACAGGGTGTTATATTGCGTTTTGGGACATTGAATGTTGGCTCTCTTACGGGAAGATCATCTGAGATAGTCGAAGTTATGAAGAGGAGGAATATCAGCATAATGTGCATGCAAGAAACTAAGTGGGTTGGAGAAAAGGCAGGTGAGATTAATCCCGTAGGTTTTAAGCTTTGGTACTCGGGGAGAGAGATGAACAGAAATGGAGTAGGCATTATGGTGGCACATGATTATGTTGACAGTGTGGTTGAAGTCTTTAGGAAGAACGATCGCATCATGAGCATTAAGTTGATAATAAGGGATGAGATCGTGTCCATGGTTAGTGCCTATGCACCACAAGTGGGATTGGATGCATCTATCACTCAACAATTTTAGGAGGATCTTGAGGAAGTGGTGCGACGAGTGCCAAGGGAGAGAAAGTGGTCATAAGAGGCGACTTCAACGAGCATGTGGGCCCAAGTCGTGATGGTTTTGAGAGTGTCCATGGTGGACATGGTTTTGGCACTAGAAATGAAGCGGGGAAGAACATTCTGGATTTTGCCTCGACATATGAGTTGGCTGTGATGAACACTTGGTTCAAGAAAAGAGACTCTCACCTTGTCACCTATAGAAGTGAAGCTAATAGTACCCAAATTGACTACTTTTTAGTACGGACGACTTGGAGAACTAGCTACACTGATTGTAAGGTTATCCCAGGTGAGAGTATTGTCACTCAGCATAGGATGTTTGTGCTTGATTTTCGAGGTAAAAAGAGGAGACAAGTTAAGGTACAAAGGGAGCCAAAGATAAAATGGTGGAGGCTCGAGAGGAATCTCCAACAAAGTTTTGCACACAAAATGTTGGAGGAAGATGTTTGGTCTATTGATAATGACGCACACGTGGATGATGTGTGATTATCAATGGAGTCCACCATTAACAAAGTGGCGAAGGAGATACTCGGAGAATCTAAAGAATGTCTGCCACCAAAAAAGGACACATCTTGGTGAAATGATGAGGTGAAACAAGCAATAAGGACCAAAAGGGAATGCTATAAGAAATTGGGCAAAAGTTGGAGCGGCGAGAACATAGAGGAGTACAAAAAGGCTAGAAGAAGAGCAAAGAAAGTTGTGAAGGAAGCCAAAGGAAAAGTGAACAAGGAATTGTACGTAAAGTTGGATTCTAAGGAAGGAGAAAAAGATATCTACAGACTTGCTCGCCTTCGTGATCGTAGGACTCAAGATATCGAAAAAGTTAAGTGTGTGAAGGATGTCGATCAAAGGGTACTAATGGACGACGACGAAATAAAAGAGAGGTGGAGGTCATTTTTTGATACCTTGTTCAACGGGAATAAAGTCCAAGATATTGATGATCTTAATATACCAGAGTGTATGGTAAATAGGGACTTCGTGAGAAGGATTCAAACAACAGAAGTTAAAGAGGCTATGAGAAAAATGGACTGGAAGAAAGCAGTAGGCCCAGATGGCATACCGATCGAGGCTTGGAGAAGTTTGGGAGAGAAAGACATCGAGTGGCTAACACGCTTCTTCAACATGATTTGGAGAAACAACAAAATGCCAGTGAGTTGGCGGAAGAGTACTCTCATTCCCTTATTTAAAAATAAGGGTGATGTACAAGAATGTGCTAACTATCGAGGGATTAAGCTTATGAATCACACCATGAAACTTTGGAAGCGAGTGGTTGAGCAAAGACTTCGTAAAAGTGTGAAAATTTCGGAGAATCAATTTGGTTTTATGTCTGGACGCTCAACAACTGAGGCCATTCACCTTCTTAGACAAGTTGTGGAGAAGTATAAAGACACTAAAAAGGATATGCATTTGGTGTTCATTGACTTAGAAAAGGCATATGATAGGGTACCTCGAGAAGTTCTTTGGTGGGCCTTAACTAGAAAAGGCATATCACATAAGTATATCAGCATCATCATGGATATGTATGATGTTTGTACTACAAGCGCCCGCACTAGTGTAGGGAGGACCACAGAGTTTCTTATTACTATCGAAGTGCACCAAGGATCTGCTTTGAGTCCTTTCTTATTTGTTATAGTCATAGATGAACTTACGAAGTCAATTCAAGAAGATATATTGTGGTGCATGATGTTTGCCGACAATATTGTATTGATTGATGAGACACAATCCGATGTGAAAGCAAAGTTGGAAGTATGAAGACAAACATTGGAGAACAAGGGTTTCAGACTGAGCCAAAGCAAGACTGAGTATATGAAGTGCAAGTTCGGTGGAGGTAGAAATAGTAGCAACAGTGGGATTACTCTTGATGGTAAGGAGATACCGGTGTGTGATATGTTCCGTTACTTGGGATCCATAAATCAGAATGATGATGAATTAGATGGAGATGTATGTCATAGAATCAGAGCTGGGTGGATGAAATGGAAAAGTTATTCAGAATTTCTATGCGATCGAGGTATGCCGACTAGACTGAAAGGTAAATTTTATCGTACAACAATTAAGCCGACATTAATGTATGGCGTAGAGTGTTGGGCGGTGAAGCAATGCCACATTCAAAAGATGAGTGTGACAGAGATGCGTATGTTGCGTTGGATGTGTGGACATACCAGAAAGGACCGCTTGAGGAATGAGGTAATCGGACAAAAGAAGGGAGTAGCACCTATAGAAGATAAGATGCAGGAGTCTCGTTTGCGGTGATTTGGGCATGTGCGTAGAAGACCGAGTGATGCACCTATTAGACGACTTGAGGGGTGGAGAGAAACGTCAGAGAAGGGAGGGAGGGGAAGACCCAACCAGACTTGGATTAGAGGAATCAGAACTGATATGCGTTTTCTTGGGTTGGATGAGAGTATGGCTTTGGAGAGAGCAAAGTGAAGGCGCACATCTGTGTGGACGATTGATGTCTTGTCTACTTTTCCTCTCTTTTTTCTTTTATCGTTTATCTTCCTTATCTTTTTATATTCGTATGTTATTTTATCTTCTAGCTTTTTTATGCTCTTTTATTTTTTATTATCTTTGTTATATTCTTGTGTTATCGTTATCTTATATTTATTTATCTTTATTTTATTAATTGTATCTTACTTTTTTTCATTTTCTTGTCCGTCTTCTCTTTTTGGCATCTCGATATCATAAATCGATTCATGTTAGCCGACCCCAAATTCTTTTGGGATTAAGGCGTGGATGTTGTTGTTGTACTTGGTGATTAAAAG